GATAACAAGTCTGTCCCTCCACAGCCCATCAACCCATCCAGCCAGCATCACAGCTGTGTACAACCCAGTGACAGGTCGACAAAGCTCAATAGATTTTGGTTGTTTTTAGGTCAAACTTAGAAGACTTTGCAATGGTTTGTTTCTCTCTGGTGCCCTTGTTTAATGTCATGTTGCTCTCATTGTTAAGTTCAACACAGAAATTTAAAGATGTCATCCAGAATCTGCTGTAAATTTCAGTTTCTTATGACTATGAGAGGATTAGATTGCTCCTAGCACAATGTATGATCCTAAAGGCAGGTATGACGGATAAATATGGATTAATTTCAACTTCTTAATCAGCCAAATGACAGTCATCATTATCAGTAACATACCCAGCCAAGTAAAGAGGACAGTAAATGGGGTTAAAGATTGAAGCATTTCATCACAGTTGGGGCGGCTGTAGCTCAGCTGGTAGAGTTGGTCGACTCTCAACTGGAAGGTTGAGGGTGGGTCACTTTACAAAGCAGCCTCTACCATCAGTGTGTGAATGGGTAGGTGTGACATGCAGTCTAAAAGCGCTTTGAGTAGTCAGAAGACTAGAAACGCGCTATATAAGCTCAAGTCCATTTACCATTGCTTTTTTTTTGGACAGTATCAGCCAAGAGGGAAATACCTGAAAGATATTGCAGATATAGGGCTTCAGTTAGAGATATGCCATCCAGCCTTTCCTGCAGGTCTAACTCTTTTGTTTCTTTTCAACACAAAGTGCTCACATACCCTCATGCAAGTACACACCAAGAGACGACAAATTAGCTGTCAGTTTTGCTCGCCATGTGACCTCAAAAGCAAAGAGAAGGGAGATAATGATCTTAGACTAAGGGCAACTGAAAAAAACACACACACACACACACACAAACATACATCCACACATTTCACCCCACACTGTCCAAGGACTTCAAGCTTCGAGATTGACGGATAAAGGGGGACTGGCATGAAGAGAGAAAAGGGTAAATGTGATTATCCCCTGACAGGCTTTAGCTGTCTCAACCTGAGTTGATAAACTAGGATGCACGCATACAATTATAGTTGCTATGATGAAAACAGTGGATCAGGACGGCACACCACCTTAAATGAAAAGAATGTTTCGTTGGTTCATTTATCATTCGTAAAAGGTATTACAGAGCAGTCATCTGCATAAAGCGAAGAGGCTTATAACATATTTATAAACTAGACACTTTATGGAATTGGCTTACTTGTCCTCACCTTGTAATGTACTTCACTGTACAAAATAAGATGGGCATATCCACACGATGGCGGGCTCTTCTCACTCACAAGTAAAAGTATGTATGAGTGTTTTTATTCAGTCATCATTCATAATCATACAATAATAATAAACAATATATACAATACTATATAAATGCCTATCCCACATTCTTATCAGATAAAGCAACCAGCTTCCAGAAGTGTAAAGAAAAAAACAACAGATCAGTCATTCACACGTTTAAGCCTCAACAATAGCTTTACAAACATTTTCTTTTTCTCAAAAACCAAAAATGTTTTTTTTACTTTATATTGGAATCTTTCCAAAGTTCACAACAGTAGAAGCTGTAGATTTGTGTTGGACTTTTTTTTAGATTCATGTTGGATCTGAAAGAGTTAGCTTTACTTTTTCTATCAATCAATCAATCAATTTTTATTTGTATAGCGTCAACTCATAACAAGTGTTATCTCGAGACACTTTACAAAAAGCAGGTGAAATACCTTACTCTTTGTCTGTTAACATTACAAAGGAGCAGGTAAAAAGACCTTACTCATTGTTATGTTACAAAAAGCAGGTAAAAAGACCTTACTTATTGCTATGTTACAAAGATCCAACCTATCCATCATGAGCACTTTAGCAAAGCAGCAAAAGTTACAGTGGTAAGGAAAAAACTGCCTTATTAAAGGCAGAAATCTTCGGCTGGATCCCCGGCTCATGACGAAACAGCCTTCACAGGCCTAGACTGCGCCGGGCTTGGAAAGGGATAGGGGGAGAGATGGGATAAGGGATTTTTGCCTTTTTAATTTTTTTTGTTTTTAAAATAAATATTGTATTTTTCTGTTATCTGCACTTGGGTCATCCTCTTTGTTTTTTCCACTGCATTACAGTTTCCATGTGTAGATCCACACAATTCCACACATTAGGATATATAACTAAGAACCAGTGAGCAATAGATTATATGCAAAGCCTTATAATTGAATATAATTCTAGATTTATACAGGATTTTTAATTTACTTTTTATATAGTCATTAAGTTGTTTCCATGTTCATTTATTATCAACCACAACCCCAAGGAATTTGTACATGTGCACATATTTTTCACAAGTCATCAAGTGTCTATCCACTCAAAATCTGTAACTGTTGACCCTTTAGAGTTGTCTCTGGAAGTTGACCTCTCTGATATTGCTTCATGTTTTTTGCATTGAATGGAAAGCAAAAGCACAACACTTTTATAAAGAAGAGAGAGGTTAACCTGTGTGCATCAAAAAGTAATTGTCTTCTATACAGCAGAGATCTTTATAAGGTAGATAAGAGACATAGTGTAAGTAACATAATATGTTAATACTCGTTGCACCATTGACTGGATTAGTTAAAGTGGCAGTTAACAACACAGACAGAAATGCAGCCAACCATTGTCACTGCCACATTGTCTCTGCAATCCAAACATTCTCCTCACAGCGTCACTGTGATTGGCTAGCCATGTGTAACCTAGCCCTGATTGGTTGTCTGATTCTTTAAGATTTTATAAAAACCAAGAACCATTTATTCCAAGTAACATTGCATTTTAAAAAAAAGAAGATGTTTCATGACATGGAATGATTTTTCACTTTATTTCAATACAAACTTTAAGAAGATAATCAGGTTCTAAATTTCAGCTCAGGATGACATGAATCTTGCACAAAATGTGCAATTCCTGCAAGTCTGGCCCTCATAATGCAGGAAGAATCCCTGTAGATTTATGATGATGTCTACAATGCCCCTGGTTGTCACACAGCAAACGATTTACACAGTTGAGTCCAGGAGACTGTTCGGAATCATCACATCAGAATGATGTCTGGATCACCTGTGCACCAGCTCCCTCTCTCTCTCCCTCTTCTCAGCACACACGTAAATACATACATGCATGCATTCAGGCAGTATGTGTGCCGGGAATAGCGGAGGCGATTGTGTTACACAGCAGTGTTTCCCACACAGACGAAAACTGGGCATCCCGCCAAGACATATTAACAGCCGCCCAAATATTTTTGCCAACCACATAAGCATTTTATTTTATTTTTTAAAGATTAAAATAATCAGTATTCTTATGATGGTCTTGTAGGTCACATGGAGGCCTTAACATTCATTTCAGTCGGTTTCATAACCAGATAAAAACTCCTCACAGTAAGTCTACGTTTCTGAATAAAATTCTTCCCCTTAGCTTAAAAATTCCCCAGATGTTAAGAATTTAGGGGGGAACCAGTGATTAAAAAAAAATTAATTCCAGGCCCTGATTATGATAAATACTGTAGATTTAAAAAAACGTGGGCTATGTTACAAACTTCCATAACCATGGGCCAAACCATGCTCTTACCGATGTATTTTTCCCCCCAACAAACCATTTAGCTTTGGTCAAAAACAACCAAGTACCTTAAATACATCCAAGTGGATAACTACCCGAATCATGGGTTAAAAAATGGTGTGCACCCAAAAGTCCTACAATGTGTAGTGTTTGTCAGCAGACTTATTTTTAACAGCATTTTGCTTTTCATTGCTAACATGAAAGCTATCTTTCAAAAATGACTGGATTCATGTAGCATATTCATTATTTCTTACTAGACCATGAGGCTCAATATTTGTCCATCAGATCCCAGAGTTTTTAATAGATTGCTGCATGTTCAAGCTTAGGCCCACTGACTAAGCTGCTGTTTCTGATTGTTTGGAGGGAGAACATGTTGACAGTTGGCACATTTGAAACACAGAGGAAACACATTTGAACAGTATTCTTTTTTTTGTAAAATCACTGAAATCATCAATTGTGTTATTTATAATGAAAAGTAGCTTGCAGAGACATTGGAGGATTGGCATTTTTGCTCCATTTCATCCCATAGAAATGAACTACAGCCTAATGGGAGAGTGCATTGATTGCTCTAATCAGGCACCTTCAGCATATTATCTTCCCATTGATACTGGCACTGAATGTATCTGGAACATTTTTGGGCTTAAATGGTTGACCTTTCCAGTACACCATCAGCCTTTAATAAAGCAATAATTAAGAGTCTCTTTAGGATCCGTGAGGGCTTGCCAGGTTCCCAAATATGGGAGGAAGACTCTAAGCTGCTCAGTGACGGGAGGAAAATGCAAGCCATCATTTATCTGGGTAATGAGAAATCGCCCCAAATCCCCCGATGTATCATTGAGCAATGATACTATCCAAACACATCTTTCATTGGAAGAAAGGGTAAGGAGGACCTTCTGTCTCTTAAAACCTATAAAGCCATAGCATAAATTCTGGGGCAGATGGATGAATTTCCCTGAAGCCCTACCATATTCTTCTCTCAAAGGAGACTGCTTGCTCAAAAATAATACATGATAACAAGGCCCAAAGTAGACAATTCATCTTCAGACCTTTGTAATTATACATTTGAGAGTTTGCTTTTCAGAAAGCAGTGATTCCCGGACTGTCAGCCGTTGCCCAGCAGAGCTATTTTGGTCTGTCTACCTCATGGGCTGATACACTGACTCTGCTCTGATCCCTTTGTCCATCAGAGAGACAGAGCATTTTCAGCTTAATGCAACAGGACCCTGGCTAATGACAGCAAATAGCCCTGTCGGCAAGATGAGAGCAGCTGAGAACAATACTTAATGTTGACATCACTTGCTATGGGCTTCTATTTCGGGTTTCTTCCTTTTATAGTGTGTGCTGTTGGAAATTGCTGTGTTGCTCCCCAGAGAAGGCACATATAAAAGCTTTAGAAGAGGAGGTGACCCTCTGTGCTCCGGAATCATTTCCAATCCCTTCAGACTCCAACTTGTTTCTCAGCAAGTCCCCAGCTCACCTCTGCTTCCCTTAACAGCATGCCGCCAAAGAAGATTGAGCCAAAGAAGCCCGAGCCTAAAAAGCCCGAGCCTAAGAAAGATGCTGCTCCGGCCGCAAAACCAGCACCGGCTCCGGAGCCACTGCCTGAGCCACCCAAAGAACCCGACTTTGACCCCAAGAGCATCACCCTTGAGTATTCCCCTGACCAGATCGAGGAGTTCAAGGAGGCCTTCACCTTGTTCGACCGCACACCGACCGGGGCGATGAAGATCACATTTGGCCAGTGCGGAGACGTGATGCGCGCTCTGGGTCAGAACCCCACCAACGCTGATGTGCTCAAAGTGCTCGGTAAACCACCGCCAGAAGACATGAGTACAAAACTGGTGGACTTTGAGACCTTCTTGCCAATGCTGCAACACATTTCTCGCGCCAAAGATCAAGGCAACTTTGAGGATTTTGTGGAGGGGCTCAGGGTTTTCGACAAAGAAGGAAATGGCACCATCATGGGAGCCGAGCTGCGTCACGTCCTTGCGACACTGGGAGAGAGGATGACGGAAGACGAGGTGGACAGACTGATGGCCGGACAGGAGGACGCCAATGGGTGCATCAACTATGCCTCCTTTGTAAAGCATATTCTCTCTGGCTGAAAGGGACATTTAACCTGAAAGACTTCATCCTACCTTACTTATCATTTTGGCCAGTAAGAGGTGAGCGTGTCACCAAGTGTGTGGCATTACTCTGCTGTCAAGAAAAAGCAGTTAATGTTGGCCTTCATACCTATGATTATTTCTTTTTCCATAAACACCCTGAAATATAATGAAATGCCAGTGAGATAAGAAAATGGACGTCCTCACAGAAAGCTCCATTAATAAAGGAAATATGATTACAAGCTGTCTCGCTAATGTCATTTCAGTACACCCAGCATTTAAATGTGAAGAGAAAATAACGATTCATGCAGGATTGCTGATAAAAGTGTTCATTTCGTGCGTCTATTCAACTTTTCACATCAACTGTGTTAATGTGATTAGGAAAAAGTATTGTTCGGATGAAAAAAACAAACAAATCAGCTTTGGCTGCATCTGAAAATAGAGCAGATTTGATTCTGTTCTGCGTTGCACAAAGAGGGTTTGAATGAGCGTGCTTGTCATTGTGCTTGAGGGGCAGCTGCTGTGGATCAAGATATACTCCCACATTCTGGACGCACAAACACACACACACACACATCCAGTTCCATTTGACAACTATAGGACAGGTGCTCCAAGGACAGGCCCACATTTCCTTGGCAGACAGAACGTTTTGTGTAGGATTTCTAAAGCAAAAAGTGTATACCAGAGTTCTAAAATTTGCTTTTCAGCATATAGATAATAGTCTTTAAAATACATTTTTTTCATGATTAAGAACACACAGAAAATGTCTGGGCTCCTCAAAGGCCCAGTAAAAGGGCCCTCATCAAATTTAATTTTAAGGTCATTGCTTTAATTTACGATGGACTATGGTTTTTTTTAGGGGACCCCATGCGACAGGGCCCAAGAAAGCTTTCCCCTCTCCCCCCCCCTTATGGAGCAGCCTTGATGTCTCATACAAACAGACAAAGAGCAGAGCAAGATCATGTTTAAATTGCACAAATACAGTGGCAATGTTTCAGAACCAAATGAGTAATTAAAGACAATAAATTACCCATTTTAGGGTGACGAGGACTTCTATTTACATTGCTGTGGTATCAATATGGTACAATTTTTACTAGTATCGTAACTAAGTTAAAAAATTTGGTATCGTCACAACCCTACTTATCATGGATATGATCATCAAAGTGATGGAGTTAAATCAGAAATTAGGTGAAAGCAATGTTGGAAATGATTATTTCCTGAAAATTGTAAAATAAGCCAACAAGTGTTTTCTCAAACATCTATATCCACCACACTGCAATTAAAAGATTTTAAAGCTGCATTAAGCAAATTCTTACCACTAGGGGGCGTAAGTAACTTGGATAAGAGTGCTACTTGTTCAGGTTTCTGCAAAAGTCAGTGGCACTCTTGCCCCCCATCATTTTGGGCTGAGTAGGTAGAAAACATTTGACCTGTTGTTCATGTAATGGAAACAGTCATGGTTTATATGAGGGTCTGTGGAGAGCTGTTGGAACTCAACCTCACGGACCAGTGAGCTCAAAGTATTAAAAGGCTAAAAAAAAAAAATGCTGCAGTGGAGTTGATAGTATACGGGAAACCCACATGATGAGAAATCTGTTACTCAATGTCAAAAGCAGACCAAGAGCAGGAAAAAAAAAAGACATAAAAGGTAGTATGTGAGCTTTGGGATTTTAGGTTTAAAAGCAACAGGGGTACAAATCTCTTTCACAGTTCACAGTGCAAGAGATTTTCAACAATCGATGCCAGCAAAATTATTTAATGGTCAACTGACAGGAGAACTCCAATTTAGGCTGACTCAAGAGGACTTTCATGTCAGTTGCTGTAACAACATTTTAAACACATTTGTGGTGACCAACATTTTGATGAATAAGCCTTATTAGCTGTTCTTACACATATACTCCTGAAAATGCCTAGAACATGTCAGTAAAGTCAACCACTGATATCTCCCTGAGCTGTTTGTTCACACATATCTCTACTAGCTTGAGGGTTTTTCCTGTCAAATAGGAGGGTGGGGGTTGGGAGTCTCAAGGGGAAAGACATGATGTAAAAAGGATGCTCAAAAAATGCTTAGATGCTTATAACCATGCTATGTGTAATTAGAGGTATTGAAAAAGTCAGCAAACACACGCACATGGCTTATTTAGGTATTGAGTCGTTAAAAAATCACTAGATACTGTATGTGCATCGGATGCTGATGAAGAGACCAGTCAGGCTCAAAACGTTGTGTTCTCTAATGCATATATCAAATCAATAAGTATATCTTTAGGAGCATTGGGATTCTTTATGCATCATATCTAGTAAATAGAGCTATTCACAGAGAAACCAAAAGTTCCACATAGGAGCTTTAAAAACTTTAGTATATCAGTTAAACAAATAAATGTTTCCAACATTATGAGTTTAAACTGGGTCTCAGTTTCTGCCAACAGCGTTGAAGCCAATGGATACTCTCCAAAAGTGTATTTTATATCATGTATTTAACTTTATCATAAAGCTGCCTCGGAAGTTCCACATGTCAGTCCCTGGGGGGATTATAGCAAACTATTCAGTTTAGAAAGTTAAACATTAAAACTGTGCCAATACTGCAGTTCATTGATAGACATAGGAAATATGTCTACGGAGTCTAGGTTTACTTTGCATCATTATCCCAATTAATTGAATTCCAATGTGTAATAGCCTTTTGATATACACCGTGTTTAAGGATCTATTTTTGGCTCACTGTAGAAGGAGTAGGAGGATGCAGCTAAACAGGCAGAAGTGGCACTTCGTCTATGCAGCTGTCAAGTACATGCAAAGGAGGTTCTTAGTGCACTGGGCATCCAGCTTCATACCCGGTTGAGAGGCAGCCAGTAATTTGCTCTCATCGTGATTAATCAGCAGCTGTTAGCTTTAAAGTCCTTTGTCAAATATGTGCAGCTCTTGGCTGAGAGGATCCACCAGCTTGTGTTCGTACATTTAGTTTTTTTAGTTGTGGGGAAGATTTCCTGCGCAAAGAGTGGACACAACATGTTAAATGTTTATTGAGTGTGTCAAGCGGTGACGCCTCTAATTTTCATAGCTGTGATTTATGTCGTCGTCGGGGTTTTGGAGAGCAAAATATTAAAATGTCAGATATACAAACTGTTCTCTGCATGGCTCTAACAGCCCAGGTGGCGGCATAAAACAACACAGTATAAACACATACACACACACACTCTGATACACACACTCACACGGAAATACCAAGTGGCATTTCTCATTTAGAGTGGTAATTTGTGAGATCCTCATATTATGCCAAGGGCAACATGTGGTGTGCAGTACCAAGCAGTTATAGCCACCTCACACTGTACTTTATTTTGGGTGTCAAACTGTGTTACGAGGCCTGAGTTGTCTCTTACCATGAATTTTAATTTTCTATACTGGTCTTGCATTGCTGTTTATCTTCTGCCATAAATGCATCACATTGCATTATGGGAAAGATTTCTCCACTAAGGGAAATATAAACCTTTTATGAGCTGGTATGTCTTATGAGCGTCCTTTAAACATAAGAACGAGTGAAATAGACATTTATCTCTCAGTTCTGCACAACTCTGGTTAAGATTTCCAGATGTGCAATTTTAACACTGCTTAGCTCGGCAGTTACAAATTGCCATGATGGTAATGACAAAGAAAAATGACAACCTTGATTATAAAACAACCCCGGAGTCAAAGTAGGTGTGCCAAGGTCGAGGGCAGCCGCCATCATTTGTTGGCAGTCGATCATTTTTCACAGGGAGCAACAAATTCACCGCTCTATTAAGAATAGATGAAGTCATTTCATTTAAGCAGAAGTCTGACTGGATTTCTGATTACAAGAGCAGGAATCATTGATTGATATGGCCTCTTATTATGTGAGCCAAATTCTTTAAATATGATGAGGCGTCAAATTCGACCTATAAGCTACAAACCCCTGTGAACAGATTGCTAACTGCTCGGTAGCGTAAACTGGATTTAATAAGTGGGTTGGAATCATCGTAACATCACTCTTTTGTTTGTTAACCCTCTTTTTGAAGCCTGGAATTTGGCATTAATGGTCACTGCCATTTTGGTTTATTGACACCAGAAGTGACCATATTTGGACATCATGGCAGATATTTACGGTTACATCACTTAATTAGCTTTTGATAGGCTGCCATGCTAATGACTAGTGCCAATCTTGGCGCCCCCTGTGGAATAAGCGGTAAATTTTGATGATCTTGCCTTGTTGATGTGTAAGTATTTGTAAGTGTTTTCTGAAAAAAAAAATCTAATTCTCCTGTCTTTATGGAATTAGGACTGCAGATATTAATGCACAAAGCCTAAGTGACGTCACCCATCTGTTCCTGCAGGGAGCTTTGGAGTCCCATCGGTGGCGGTCACCATGCTGGAAATGCTGTCTCACACTAACTTTGAGTCAATTTAACGACTGAGAACTGGAGCTAAGGTGAGTTTTAAGCTACTTGAGAAACCTTTACACTGTGCCCGCCGGTCATTCAGGTCACCTACGCTCCTTATTGTGACTAATGCTTGTCCCTCATATAAAATCAAAACGAATGAGTTATAGAAAGTTATTCCCCCAATAAATGGTGTGCCACTCGAGACATCAGTTAATCAGACCTATTTAGTGTTTGAATCAGGCTGCAAACACGTTAATTTCTGCTTTAAAAACGGACTTTTTTAAATGGGTGTGTATGTGACTTCCGGTGCTTCTGCAGCCAGCCTCTAGTGGACACTAAATGAAACTGCATGATTTTGCACTTCAACATCGGCTTCACTTTTCAACATTTGAGGTCGCCACTTGAGTTAAACGTATCTTACCATCAACCTCTGTCACGGAAACTGTTTTGGTTGATTACTGTTAATGACAACTACCCTGCTGAAGCATTTACAGGCATTAAAAACAACTTTACAGGAACAAAAAGTATTCATGCTGATGGTCTTTATTTGCTTTCATGGGTCAAATTGAGGCATAAGTATAATTTCAGTCAGTTTCATAACTGTTTTGTCATGTGCTAAATTAACTAATTCTCGAATGATTTCTTTATGGCAGCATTAAATAAAAATGTCCCTCCTCCTACATTGAAAAAAGCCATAATGCAGATTTGTACAACTTTTGGTGTGATTAATTCAGCCGCCTCTGACTAGCTGATACTGTCATTGTGATGCACAACACCAACCGGCTTGTTAGCTCTAACGACATTAGTGTGCACGTGTCCTGTTGACTGATGA